ATCGTGAAGCCCACTCTCTCCTTCCTCACAGCAAAATCGAACAAGCTACTGTCTGTGGAGTGTAATTACACCAACTATGAGACAAGTATATCAGCTGTAATTGGTCCTTACAGCTCGGAAATGGTGTCAGTCATTGGAAAACTCCTGGGATTTAATTTCACATTTTGAAAAAAAAGAGTATTTTTAAATGTTAAAGTAAATCTTAAATAATAAGCTAAACATTAGCATCCTTAGTGTCCCATGAACTTTACGTTGTTAAGGTTAAAATGTGTTTAGTCCGTTTTAAAAGCCAAGCTGATCACAGCAAAATCTGAATTTGAATAATCTTTTCTGTCAGATGTTCAGTTGTTTTGACACAATACAATTACATGTAACTGTGCTCACTTGCAATGCAAAGTGTACTGCAGCCTCAGTAAAAGCACATTAGTCCTTGAGTGTCTATGGGCAGGGCTGAATAACATGTAGTAAAATATTCTTATTTTAGTTCAAATATGTTACGACTCTCTTCTCGCTTCAGATCAGCTATGGAGCGACGAGTGACAAATTCAGTGACAATACTCTCTATGCTTCATTCTTCCGTACGGTGCCCAGTGACAAACTACAAGTAGACGCCATGGCAAATCTACTGAAAGTGTTTGAATGGAACTGGGTGGCAGTGGTAGGCAGTGATGAAGAGTATGGACAACAAGGTGTGCAGCAATTCTCCAAATTGGCAGAAACGATGTCCATCTGTGTGGCCTATCAGGGGCTGATTCCAGTATACTCGGACCCGGAACCAACCGTCCAAACCATGATTGCAGAAATCCAAGCAACCAATGTCGGAGTGGTAGTGGTCTTTGCTCTCGTAGATCAAGCTGAAGCCTTCTTTAAAGCGGTTAGTGAAGCATGGAATTATCAAATGTAGGTCTTTATACAAGTGTTTCATGTCACTGGTGGATAGAATACATTCAGTTCACATTGTATCATCCAGCCCAATCTATTCCAGGTTATCAGGAACAATGTGACAGGTGTGTGGATTGCCAGCACAAGCTGGGCCCTCCAAAGTCGTCTGACTTCTCTCCCCAATATCCAAAGTGTCGGTACAATTATCGGATTCACTGACATGACACAGCCTCTAGATCTACTCACCAACTACACACAGCAGCTCTTCATCAAACTGAGCGAAGAGAGGGAAAATGGGTCCGCTCCAGAACTGAATTCTAGCAATCACAATAATCCCTGCCCACAGTGTTGGAACTTGTCAGTTGAAAATATCAGTTTGGTAACATCCCGCTTGGTGCAGCACACAGCTTTCAGTGTGTATGCTGCCATCTACACAGCAGCACATGCACTGCATAATCTGCTGGGATGCAATTCAGCTGCCTGTATGAGAGGACCTGAAACTAAAATCTATCCCTGGAAGGTGATTTCATTTATTTTTTGTCTGCTATGTAGATGATTGCAGGGAATTTGGAATTAAAATTGTTTGTAACAACATTGAAATTATGTTAAAAAATAATGATAATGAACCTTTTTTTGCAGCTGTTGAAGGTTTTAAAAAATATTTCTGTAAATATAAAAGGCAAACAATTAGTGTTTGACAATAATGGCAACCCAAACTTAGGATATAATTTGATTCAGTGGAGCTGGACAGACGAAGGTGTAGAGTTCATGAATATTGGAAGCTTTTATGAAAAACTGTCCATCAACAACTCCCTCTTGAAATGGCATACTGAAAAGGTAACTTCAGCAATTTATTAGGAACTTTATATAAACATTTTAACATATGCACACTTCAAAGATCTGTGATTACCTTTTACCGAAATATTGTACCAATTACCATAACAATCTTAACCGCAATGCCACTTTTGCAGGTTCCCCTGTCCACCTGTTCAACAGCAGTATGTGGGACAGGCCAAGTCCAAAGAGTCAAAGGCTTCTATTC